AATCCTTGCTGTCCTTGGCTGGAAGCTTTCAACTCTAGGAGATCCCATCTCCGATTTGGCGAATAACTGTATGGCCTTCTTCCTGCCACCTCACTTTAACACACCGAGAGGTACAGAGAGGGGCAAAGGCACATTTGACACACAGAGAGGAACCAGAGTTCTGAAACAGATTAGCTCCTGCCCTTAGAGAGCTCAGCTGACAGTTGGCTCATTGCAGTTCAGAAGCGCTGTGGATCTTGTACCATATTCCCTGCTCTGCCCTTTCTCCGAAGACCCCTACGTTCCTCCAGGGCAGAGCATTTTTCTGCACGTGCAGATCCCTGTGCCACGATCACCCCATCCCCAGTTTGTCTCCTGCCTGCTGCCTGTGTGCTGAGGAAATGCCCCTGGTGTGAGCCCTGCTGTGTGCTCCACAAATCCTGCTTGGTGCTGGCCCCGTGGTCCTGCACGCAGAGCGTTGTCAGGGAGCAGAACCGTGTTCAAAAACCAGTCTGGATTCTTCTCCCTCTCACTGCAGCCCCTGCAGGGCTCTGCCACAAGGCTCCTGGTTCCCCTAGGAAGCGCCGAGCTGCCTGCTGCCTGCTGACTCGTTTTGCCCCTCGTGTCTTCCAGGCTCAGCGAGGTGGGATCGGGGGCACCTGGGGGTCCCCACTGCAGAGGAGTACTGCCAGATGTACTGCGGCCACAGGGGAGTGGAGCTGCCCGTGAACTTTCATTTCTACATGGCCTTTGCCTTCTTCCGACTGGCCGCAGTGCTGCAGGGACGCTACAAAAGCTCGCTGGCAGGTGAGGAGCCCAACCACGCGGCCCAGTTCTGCGCAGGTCTCTGAAATTTTGGGCAGTAAAGCAAAGCCTGACGTGCCTGGGAGGTTGCTGGGTCAGCAGGAGAGCAAGGCAGCCTTGTGCTTTGAGGATAGCACGTTTGGTGGTCCAGTCGTGTCCTGCAAACATTAAAAAGGTCCAAAGGGGAGCACACAGAGGGCGCTTCCCCTGCTGCAGCTTTTTTTTGGTGGATGCAAGGTCTGTGTTTGCTTTTTGTGCTGATCAGAGGTTGTTGGGTGCTCACTTCTTTCTTGTGAGGACTGAGCAGAGGCCGGAGCTCAGAGACGTGTCCTACAGGTGGAGCTCTCAGACTTCTGAAGGAAGCCCCAGCCTTAGAGCAACTGGGAAGCAGGGAGGTGGTGGGGGCTCTCGGTGCTGTTTATCTGCATACATCAGGTCTGGCCTGGGGAGTTTTTATCAGAGAAAAAGATGGTATTTTCAAATTCCTTGGAGAAGAGTCTCCCCGAGTCCTTCTGTGGTGGCGTGGACGAGGACACGTGGCTCTGTTTGGGATGTGGCTGTGTCACACGGGTGTCTTATTCTTCTCCTGTCCCCAGGGAGGCCAGCCCCAGGTGAAAGCCGCCCGGAGCACGCAGAGTTCGTGGCAGACCTGGCCTGGGACTTTGCCATCAAAGAAGGATTCCGTGTGTTCGAGAGCCTCCCTGCTGCAAAGCCTTCTGCACGGCGCTACAGCACCTGGGCCAGGCAGGGGCCGTTCCTCAGCAGGAGCTGTGGCACCTGGCCGTGTCCTGGGGCTGCCTCCGTGCTCCAGGTCCCCCCCATCACTTCCCTCAGCGGCCTCTTGGGGATGGCCCAGGGTCTTTACTACAAGCTGGAAAGGATCTTGGAAGGCCAGTGGAGTTTGCTGATTTCCCAGCTCAGGTGGACTCTGCGACCTCTTCTAGACCTAAAGGTGAGGCATCTTCCTTCCTACAGCAGCTTTGCTCCCTTACACAAGGGTCGTGGCAAGCCTCTAAGAGCCTTTGCATTCCTAATCACATCAGACACGTGGCACTCAGAGTCCTGTGGCTTGGAGAAATTGCTTGGTACGGAGTTCATATCCTAGGAAACAGCAGTTGCAGAAGCTGGCACTCCCTTCCCAGATGAGCAGGTTCTTGCCAGGCCAGCTGCAATAAATGGGGCTGCTCCCCCAAAAGCACTGCCACCAATGCTGATGGAGGCCCAGAAATTGGGACTTCTCAGTCCTGTGCTGCCAGCCCACTGCTTGTTCACTCCCTTCCCCTGTCAGGGCTGTCTCTGAGTGGGAAAGGCTGAGTTAACACCGAGTTAATGCTCTTTGTAACAGTTCCTCCTGGTGCACTGGCTGGGGATGACCCTTGGGTAGGGCAGGGAGCTGCTGGCATGCTCCACATTTCCTCGTTTTTGTTCTCTTAGCCTGCTCTCCCGGCAGGGGCTGTCCCTGCAGGCTCCCTGTCAGCAAACAACTTATCCCTGCTCGGAGATAAGTGTGTGATCAGGCAGAGCAGGCTCTGGGATGCTGCTTGGACTTTGGCCCTGAGCTCTCCCGAACGTAGCGGGTGCTGCTGCAGCCCTGAGTCCTCAGAACGGAGGGATCTTGGTTCTTTCTGGTGTGGTGGTGAGGAGGCAGAAAGCAGCTACCAAAAAACGTGCAAAAGCCCAGCTGCCCGGGCTCTGCTAACTGATTTCTCTGTGCTGCCACTTCCCAGTGCTGCTGGTGGACGCGGGGTGGCTCAGTGTGCCTGTGGCTCTGGGCTGGCTCATGGTCCAAACAGATTTGCTGGGAGTGGTGTCGTAAGTAATCATTCCCAGAGCGTGTCATGAAAGCAAACATCGCTCTCCTCGAGTTGCTGCCCAGATTGGGCTCTTAGCATACTCCGGTGACATTATCGAATGCGAGTGGGTTACTTAACTGCCTTGTAACTGCCAAAAAAACACAATCCGTCTGCTGCTGAGCCTTTCAGAAATGTTTCCTTGTGCTCACGCAGCAAAAACCAGCGTGTCAGGGTGCTTAGCAGCTAATCCCCGAGAAGACGGAGAAGAGGAAGCAGGCTGCAGGCAGTTTGGAAGTGCTGAGAGGAGCACATCTCCTCACCCTTCCTCCAGACACTCATCTTCACACCTGGGGGAGAGTTCCCAGGTCTTCAAGCCCCAGGGCTGCTGCTCTGTCCCTCCTCCATGCCCTGGGCTTGTGGTGGAGCCCCCCTCATCCCTCTCATCTCTGCCTTCTCCCTGTCCATCCCACTGCTTTTTCCCTTGACATCACCCTTGCCCTGTGTCAGCTGTGGAAGGACATTTTAAAGGCTGGGGGAGGAGGCCAGGGGTGGGGTGCTGCTGCCTGCAGAGAAAAGATAACAGCAGTGGGGCCTTAAACAGCTGAGCAGGCCCGGCCAAGGGCTGTCAGAGCACTCCCAGGCTGGGCAAGGGCCAAGGGAAAGGGCCAGCTGGCACTGCGGGGCAGGGTTTGTCCCTGCGAGATGAAATTCAGCTGAACACAGCAGTGCCTGGGCTGATCCTGCCATGCCCTGCACGGGAACGCTCAGGTCCCAGAGGCTGCCCATGCTCCCAGTTCCCTGGGGAGAGCTTCTCGAGGGGAGCACAGCAAAGCTCAGCCTCTCTCTGAGCAAACATGAGTGTGTGTGGTCGAAACAGCCAGCCTGTGGCTGCACTGTCACGGCTGGGGAAGAGCCAGGGGAGGACGGAGAAGGATGTAATGTGTCTCGTCCCCTTCCAGCAGGCAGAGTGCCAGAGCCAGAGCCGTGTCTCCGATGCTGACTGGGCAGGCCGTGGATCAGGCTAGCCAGGTGAGCAGGCACGTACACCTCTCAGCTGATCCTCCTGTGGCCCAGATAAAGCAGCAGGGGGACACCAGCCTTTTGGGGACAAGAAGACCACAGCAGAAATGTCACACAGGCATTGCAGCCTGGGGCCAAAGAGCCTAAGGGGATCCCCAAGGAGGATAGGGCGTTTGGAAGGAGCTGGGGCATTTGCTGCTGTGCTTCCCTGCTCCTGCAGCCCCTTCCTTGCCCTGCATGGGTGTGGATTTCACTCTCACACAGGTCTCTGGAGCAGAACATCGCAGCCGTGCAGACCCCAGCCCAGGCCCGAGCCCCACGTCCAGCTGAAGGTCCCACATCTGGCCGAAGGTCCCGTGTGCCCCGCAGGACAGCACGCTCCAAACTGGAGCTGAGACAGCGCTGGGGAGCCTTGGATGTGAGACCAAACCAGCCCCTCTGGCGTGGGAGGGGTTGTGTTATCTGCAGCCTGTGAGCTTTTGAATTTCAGAGGCATTTCTGTTATCTGGCTCAGTGCCTTTATTGCCATGGGCTCAATAGCTGTGGGGCAAATTCCATCCCTGGGCCATGAGGCTGCAGGCACGGAGCCTTGCAGTGGGGAGAGCAGGGCCAGGGGTGTGAGTGCTGGGTTTGGGAATGAAGATGGAGCAGAGCCTCTCTCCTTCTGCACATCTCCAGCACCCCGTGGGTGCTGAGGCTCCAGTGGTGGGGAACTCCTGGAGGACTCTGGCTTCTGGGGAGGCCCTGGAACTGGGAGGAATGGGGAGGACTCGATGGCTCCAGGGCTGTGGTGGATCTCTCTGGGTTTCCCTGAGGATCAGGGGTGACGTAGACCAGTGGGGTTTTCAGTGCTCCACACGGACCAGCAGCAGGGAGAACTGGGGGCTTCTGACTGTGCTAATTCCTGGGCTCTTTTCATGTTCTCTGGTATTAATTCAAGTGCTGGACATAATTCTTGGAATTCACCAGATTAAAAAGTTCAACTCTTCGGTATCCTCTGCCCGTTTCGCTCCGGTTGGAAACACTCTGCTGGGGACGGTGGGATGTGGCAGTGTCCCTGCACTGATGTGACAATGCCTGGTGCTGGCTCCCCCAACACGGGCACACTCTCACAGCCCTATTCAGCTGCCAGGGGAACGAGGGGAGCTGCAGGAGGGCCCTGGGACAGAGGCTGCAGCTCCCCGGGGACGTCCCCTCGGTGCGAAACCCACGGCCGGGGCCGGGCTGGAGCCGCCGGGACCCGGGGGGGGGAGCGCTCGGGGCGGCCGCGCCGCGTGCCTCGAGCTGCACGTGCAGGGGGGCGAGGCGAGAGGGCGTGTTATGAATGGAAGTGGGCGTGGTGATGAATGGAAGGGGGCGTGGTTATGAATGAAGAGGGCGTGGTTATGAATGAAAGGGGGCGTGGTGATTAATGAAGAGGGCGTGGTTATGAATGAAAGGGGGCGTGGCGAAAGCGATTGGTGGGCATGGCTACGCAAAGGGGGCGTGGCCCAGCTGGGGGCGTGGCGCACGGCGTACGCGGTGCTGGCGGTGGCGGCGATGCTGCGGCTGGCGCTGCGCTCCTCCCGGCTCTGCTGGGGCCCGGCCCGCCCGGGGGCTCCTCTCTCGGCCGCTCCGCTCTCGGCCGCCGCCGCCTCGCCCATCCCCGCACCCAACCCGCGCCCTGAGATCGCCTACAATAAGGTAGGGCTGGGCCGGGGGGACGGGCAGGCTCTGGGGAAGGTGGGGGGCTGTCACGACACGGCTGGGGGTGTCCCGATATAAGTGGGTGTCCCGTATGGCTGGGGGGGTGTCCCGACATAGGGGGGTGTCCCAACACGGCTGGGGGTGTCCCGACATAGGTGGGTGTCCCGACGTGGCTGGGCCGGTGTCCCGGTATAGGTGGGTGTCCCGATATAGGTGGGTGTCCCGACACGGGCGGGTGTTGCGACATGGCCTGGGCGCTCCTTCCCCGCGGCCGTGGCTCGGAGCTCAGCAAGAACAGGCCCGCCCCAGGCCGACCCCGCTGCCCCGGGTCCGGCCGTGCCCGAGCAAAGTCCCCGCAGCTCCCCGGGCTGCCTGGCACCGGCTGCTGGGGGCGATGCAGCCCCGGTGCCGCGGGTGAAACGGGTGCGGTGCCGCTGCCCGAGGCGCTCCCCGGGGCTTTGGAAGGAGCCGGTGAGAGGGGAACTGCCGCGGTGTGGATCCTTTTTGTCGGCTGGCAGCTGCTGTTCCGTCTGGGCCAGAACATCGCCTCCAGATCCGTGCGGTTTTGGAGCCCCCGCAAGCTGAGCCCCTTGAATTAAGCAGCCTGCTGAGAAGCCAGCAAACAAATAAAGCTCCTAGCGATTCCCCTCGGTCTGGCTCCGAGACGTGACCCTGTTTTGTTGCCTTCCTTACAGATTTTTATAAATAACGAGTGGCACGATGCAGTCAGTAAGAAAACCTTCCCAACTGTCAACCCTGCAACAGGAGAAGTTATCTGCCAGGTTGCCGAGGGCGATAAGGTAAATATTCCCTCTGAGATCTGTTTGTTTGCAGCACGCAGGGATCGCGGAGCGGCTGACCTGCACCGATGCCACGTGCAGTGCTGCTGCTGTCCTTCCCCAGCACGGCTCTCACAAAACCCTCAGGCTTTGCCTCTTCCCAGTGGCAAGCTGGGACTGGAAAGGGTGGGGAGGAGCAGACGGTGTGGAGTGGAGCCTGGGCTGGGAGGAGCAGCCGTGGGTGGAAGCTGCTGGGCCAGGCAGGGGTGAACGCTGAGCCCCTTGCTGTGGTGGGAGCGTGACCCAGAGTCACGGCAGGAGAGGAGGCAGAAGGGCAGTGGTGCCTGAACGGCCTCCCTGTGCTGTACACGTGGAGTGGGAGATTGTCCCCAGTCTGGGGAAGTTAAGAAATGAAAGCGAAAGGGTTGGGAGCAGCCGTATAATTGCCCTGTGCTCTATGCAAGGCCCTCCTGGGAGTCTGTGGCAGAGCAAGGTTTTGTTTCCCAGCAATTTGGGGCTCATCCTCCAGGCTGGAAACTCGTTTGTATTCTCCAGGGGAGGGGTGAGCGAAGGAGCTCTTTGTTGTTTGCTCGTCCATGGCACAGCAGCTTGTCTTGGCGAGACCATTACAGCAAGCCAGAACAGAAGAACAACTAAAAACCAAATTAATGTCCCGACTGGACAAAATGAGGGGTTAGAGATACTTGATCAACAAAAAAAAGTGCTTTAGACTGTGCTGGTGAAATCAAACCCTGGAAGAGTGTCAAAGCAGATTTCTAGAGCTCTTTCCTTGCCTCGTTCTACGATGAAAATATTAACCCAGCAGATGATATTGCAGGAATAATGTCAATATTTGCACTCCACATAGCTGAAATAAGAGGCACAGGTGGTGTTTCCTCCTGGAGCCCAGGGAGGGCATCAGCTGTGTTGGGAGAGGGAGGCAGGAGCTGGTTGCTCCTTCCTCACCCACCTTTCTTGGACTCCTCTACAGGCCGATGTGGACAAGGCTGTTAAGGCAGCCAGGGCAGCTTTCCAGCTGGGCTCGCCCTGGAGGAGGATGGATGCTTCTCACCGCGGGAAGCTGCTGAATCGCCTGGCTGACCTGATTGAGAGGGACCGGGCTTACCTGGCGGTGCGTATCGCGCTCCGTGGGCCCTCAGCCGGGGCAGAGACGGGTGGTGGGCGCCCATCGGTGCGGTGAGGACGTCAGCCACAGCTAACCCTGAGCTGCAGGGGATGGGGAGGTGGTCTTGGGAGGTAGTCTTGGGTCTCGAGAATGAAATCTAAATCTAGACGTGTGATTTTTTTTCCCATCCCGTGCTTCAGGCAATCTCAATGTCTTTTGTAGGCGCTGGAAACTCTGGATAATGGCAAACCCTACTCCATCTCCTACCTGGTGGATCTGGACATGGTGGTCAAATGTCTCAGGTAGGCACAGAGGCTGTGGTGACAGCGTGGTCGCTTCGTGCCCCACGCTCCTGCTTGGCTGCCTGTGGAAGCTGAGCCTCTGATGCCTCTGATTCAGGCTGGTTCCGACCCCTTGGTATTATCTGGCCCTTTCAGTCTGTTTCCATCTCTTTCTTACCTTTTTGTTTTTTTGGTTAAGTACAAACAAAAGGAATTTTCTTCCTGAGATTTTTCCAAAGGGCTCTTGTTATGTGTCTGTTGCTCTCTGACCACATGCAGAACTTGTACAAATGGATTAAGCTGTGGGGCAGTGCAGGACTGACACACCAGAGGCCATACAAATTGCTGGCAAACATGCGAGATGAAAGTTTACATTTACTGTCCACTCTTAAAATCACCTTCCTGGGAAATACTTGCATTAGTGTGCACTGTCTGAAGTGACAGAAGAAGGGAGGAAAGCAAACAGCTGGGGGAAATCTTTCTTGTTTTCTGTTTTCAATTCAGTGAGCAAAACTTTCTTGTTGCCAGGTACTTCGCAGGCTGGGCTGATAAATTCCACGGCAAAACCATCCCTTTAGACGGGGACTTCTTCTGCTACACGAGACATGAGCCCGTGGGAGTCTGTGGACAGATAATCCCGGTCAGTAAAATGTATCAGTAGGTCCTGAAAAATGTCAGGAATTGAGTGTTACAACGAGGAGGTATCTTAAAATGCAAGGCTGTTTGAAGCGCTGCTTCCTTCCAATGCTAAAAATAACGTGATCCTCGCTCCAGCTGGGAGGGCTGCTACTTTGCTCTGGCAGCACAGACCTACTTGTTGATTTCATGGGGTATGGGTAAGATTTATTTTGTATCAGCTGCAAAAATAAATAAATAAAAATCAGCCCCTTTATTATCTCAGAGCCACAGTTAAGTTTAAACTTCTGTTTTTAATGCTAGGTGGTAGTTTGTGTGATGAGGAAATAGAGAACTAGCATGCAAAACTCAGTTTTATGTAACTGGTCTTGTTTCTGTAACTGGTAGCAAGCAGAGCAACGAGGTTTGGCAACAGCAAAGCCCCGTGGATGCAACGATCCCTGGACGGTGATACCTGCTTGTAGGAGCAGCCACGTTCTGGTTGTTGCACGCTGTGTTTACACGGGTTTTGTGTCTGCATTGCACAAGAGCTGAATGGAAATGCCTCACCGGTCTGCAAGCACTGCCCTGTCATTACAAAGGGCTTCTTTCAAAACGTGGAAAAAAAATAATAATGGCTAAATGGAGGGTAAAGATTAATTCCAAAAAAGCTGTGGTTTTGCAGTGGTATTGAGAGGCTTCACACGTCAGTACAGTTTTCCTGGGCAAGCAGAAGACAGTGCTTGAAAAGGAGCCAAAAACCGCAGCTCGGGAAAGCTCAGAGGCTGCTTCCATAGGTGCTGCACCTGCAGATTTGAATAAAGCTCGCTCGTTACATGCTCGGTAATTGGAACCTGCAAGCTCAGCAAATTTCTTCTTGTTTTCCAGTGGAACTTCCCGCTGTTGATGCAGGCGTGGAAACTGGGGCCTGCCCTGGCTACTGGGAACGTGATCGTGATGAAAGTGGCCGAGCAAACCCCCCTGAGTGCCCTCTACGTAGCAAACCTGATCAAGGAGGTGAGGGAAGGGCTGGGTTTCCATCAGCTGACCCGTCAGAACTGCTGGAGTTTGGGGTAATGTGACAGGAACAGAAGAGGGCTGTGTGGTCTGGAGAAATGCCAGATTGCCTTGGATATCTTAGGGTTTGGGTCAGCAACACCCCACAGCATTCAAACACCTTCATGTTCATAAATGCACATGCAGAGAACGTCCTCGTTGATTTAGGGAAGGACTCCGAGGCTCAGTTAAATAAACTTCAGGGTGATTAGAAAGCTCAAATATGTGCTAAAATAAAAGCTGAAATAATATATAGCTCCCAGCCATGTTTAGGGTACAGGGTGGGGCGAGGAATTGTTCTGCTTCTTGGAAATCAAGCGTTAAACCTGAAGACCTGGGAAATGAAATGAGCTAGGAAAGGCTCTGTTCTTTGTGGGAGGCATATCAGAGCGTTACCAACAGCTGAATGGGGGTGAAATCCTTGATTTACGGAAGGAATAACGTTGCCCTCTCCTGCAGGCCGGATTCCCCCCAGGCGTGGTGAACATCATCCCTGGCTACGGGCCCACTGCGGGGGCTGCCATCTCTTCCCACATGGACGTAGATAAAGTGGCCTTCACAGGCTCCACAGAGGTAAGGGGGGGCCTTTACCTTTAAACCCTTGGGACATAAAGATCATCTCATTCCTGTATGGCTTCTTTTGTACAAATACTGGAGGTGTGTTGCCTTCTACAACTTCCTTCAAGAAATACAGCTGCCTTTACAGCGTGACATTGAATTTTCCTTTGCCTAAGACTCTTTTCAGGTGCTTTCTTTAGGAGTATTTCCTATTGTCTTCCTTGATCTGCTTTGTGCTAGAGGTGAAACTCTAGGTGGACTTCCCGTAAAGCCCTGACCATGAAGGGATTACTGCTAAACTGCTGACTGGGACCTAAAACCAGCCGCTCTGCCGGGTGTGATGCGGGCTGGGGGCAGTCCCTAACGCCTCTTCTCCTGCTGCAGGTTGGGCACCTGATCCAGAAGGCTGCAGCAGAGAGTAACCTGAAGCGGGTGACGCTGGAGCTCGGAGGGAAGAGTCCAAACATCATCATGTCTGATGCCGACAGTAAGCACCTGCTGGCGGAGCGTTTGGTCTGTGTGTTTCACGCTGGCTTTCTGCAAGCAGAGCTGGAGGGGGAAAAGAAACCTCTCCTGCGTCGTGCGTCCCCAGCTCTGACACCACCTGGCTGGTTTCTCTCCGTGAAGTCTCTGTGCCTCCTGCTGCAGCTGCCGTGTTTGTGTAGCAGGGCTTCTTCACTCCCACTTCTTTCCCAGGACTGGGGAGAAGCTCAGTTATCAGCAAATGATTATTGTTTCTGTATCTTCCTTCAGCTTTCTCAGTTCTGTTTTTCTTCTCTTAGTGCTTACCTCCCCTTTTTTATTGTTATGCAGTTCTGGTTCTCTCGTCTCTTGCATATAAGTTCATTTTTGATCTGGATGAACCAAATGCATTAGTAAGGAAATTCTACCAGATCCAAACTAACTCATATTTAATATCTGTTAATTTCAAATAAGAACTAGAATCCGCCTCAGATCAGATTTTTTTCTTCTATTATGGGATACTCTAATGGGTCTTTATGCTGATTAAATCTGTATCTAACTACCAAAGCATAGAAAATGCCATCAGCTGAAAGGACCTTGTGTCACTGATGCTCCAGTAGCTGGCATGATAATAGTTCAAAAAAAGTCACTTACTGACTTGGGCTGTTTTTTTTTTCTCTCTTCTCCCCCATCTTAGTGGACTGGGCTGTGGATCAAGCCCACTTTGCCCTCTTCTTCAACCAAGGGCAGTGCTGCTGTGCCGGATCCCGAACATACGTCCAGGAAGATATATATAAAGAGTTTGTGGAGAGGAGCGTTGAGAAAGCCAAGTCCAGGGTGGTTGGAAACCCGTTTGACTTTAAAACAGAGCAGGGGCCTCAGGTGAGAGCAGGGGATGTCTGGAACTGTTATCTCATGAAATTATCCTGATTTTGAGTCACTGGGCATCGGTAGGTCAGGATGAGGGGTATCCTCCAGTCTCCCAGTTCATCTCCTTTGAACTGTGCCTATTACCTCCGTGTGCAGGAGGGAGAAGCTAATTAACCATTCTGATTATTCCAAAACCTCCCCTTGAAACTGGCACTTAAAAATCCTCATTTCCCTTTGAAGCTGGCTTGGCAACCTAGTGAAATGGAGAACTGCCAGAGCCCAGCTGTGTGCTGGAGGGGCTCCAGTCGAACCCTTTTTTTACCCCCAGCAAACACCGAGCTGATCTGTCTGTCCCGATGGCTCTTAGGTGGACGAAGAGCAGTATAAGAAGATCCTTGGCTACATCAGTGCCGGGCAGCGGGAAGGAGCCAAGCTGCTGTGCGGTGGCAGCCCCGCTGCAGACAGAGGCTACTTCATCCAGCCAACTGTCTTTGGAGAGGTGCAGGACAACATGACGATCGCCAGGGAAGAGGTGAGACCTGCGGCACCTTCCTGCCCTCAGCTTCGCACTTTTGTCCCTTTGCACCCACTGGTGGAGAAAGAATCAGGTCTGAAAGCACGAGACATTCAGGAAATGAGAATAGAAAGAGAAACTTGGCGCTTTTTAGGAAGTTAGCGCAGCAAAATTCCCTCCAAATTACACGCTGGGTGCTTCATGATATGGGAGGTGACACACTGATACTTTGAATGTAGTGTCCTGTGCAACTTCCAACATACACACACAGCTCCAGCATCAACCACAGCCTCTCCTGGGACCACTTCACACTTTTTCACTTGCTCTGTTTGGATCTTGCAGATATTTGGGCCTGTCATGCAGATTCTGAAGTTCAAAACAATCGAGGAAGTAATTGAGAGAGCAAACGACTCCAAGTATGGTCTGGCAGCAGCAGTCTTTACGAAGGACCTTGACAAAGCTAATTATGTGTCTCAGGCCCTGCGAGCCGGGACAGTTTGGTGAGCCTTGATGCTTTTTTTTTCCCTCCCTAAAGTGCTGGCAGCTTTCTTGTGGGCTGTGATTTCTTGTTACACTTGCTCTCTGATAGCCTGTCTGCGCTTTGGATCAAATTGGATCAAATTTGGATACAAGTACCTCACCGAATGTAACATCAGACCTTCAACTGCAGTGCTGCTTTGGGTGAAATTTAGGAATATTAAGCTTCCACACTCTCATTGTGAATTAGTGAATGGGACGGGGGAGCAGAACTGAAGCACTGCAGTTGGCAATGACAGCAGCATCCCGCAAGGCTCTGGGCTTGTGTGGTGCAAGACACGAATTAATTTCATGGTGTTCTGCTTCCTGGCTGATAAAGATGAGGTTCCGGTATTGATTAATTCTGATGATTGAGATAGCTAACAAGTGGGGAAATCATGTCTAGAAATTCATCTGTCCCTCTGCTATAAACAGCTGAGATGTCCATTTGCTGTGGAAAAAGCTCTTCAATTACCCAGTTCTGAAACTGCAGGTGCTTGACTTGTGCTTTCCTTTTCAGGGTGAACTGCTATGATGTGTTTGGTGCACAAGCCCCATTTGGTGGCTACAAAGCATCTGGGAATGGGCGAGAGCTGGGAGAATATGGTCTGGAGGCATATGTAGAGGTGAAAAATGTGAGTATCCCCCTGTGTGAGTACTTCCCAACCCTCTGCTGTAGCTCCAAATTGTCTCTGTGCCTGCTGGTGTGGGCCTGGGAGTCACAGTTCTTTCTAATACTTGAACGAAACTTGGAACTGTGCTTCTTACACAGACAAAACTCGGTGTAACTATTTAAAAGAGAAAGCTAGTCTTGTTTTGTACAGCTTTAGAAAGCAAGGATACGTGCCCTGACTGACAGATTACCAATTGCCCGCGCCACTTGGCACAGTTCAGGAGTCTCTCACTGTAAGGAGTGGAAGCGTGCTGGCTCTGCAAGCTTATTTTGTGGAGACCAGAGAGAGAGAACCTGTGCTGGGGGTGTGTGTCAGTGGGGTGGAAGCTTTTGTGTGTATAAACTTGCAGATGAAAACTGGGCGCTCAGAGGGGGAAATTTGGGCAGTGACCCCAGCCCTTAATGCCGCTCTCTGGAGCAGCACTGCTGGCGTTGGGCAATCCACAGGCTGAATAACTTCCTGAAAGGCGAGGCAGAAGGGCTGCTGCTTGGTCTGCTCGCAGCTTAGTGTCTGAAGAGTGACAGAGCTCGTGGGCTGAGGTGGTTTGCCTGCAGCTTGTGATCCAGTACGAGGTGTGGAACGGGTCAGGGCCTCCAGCATGTGCCTGGCAGAGAGCTTGCACTGCTCCTGGTAAGCAGGGGAACCTCCGGAGGGGTGCAGGGACCATTTCTGAGCTTCCCCTGCCTCTTAGGACAGCTCTCCTGATCCCATCAGTGACTACCACCGGGGACACGCTGGCCCCTGTCTCTGCCTCCCCTCAGTGGGGTGCTGCAGGGCGGTGACCTGTAACTTTGTTTTCTCCAGGTAACCATCAAAATCCCCCAGAAAAACTCCTAAAGGACAACGTCCTCCCCCACGTATGGAGGACACCTATGCAGCTTTGTGAGGAATAAAGCAAAGGAAGCCTCTGTCACACGCCAAGCTTAGGTGGCAGCCGTGTAACTGCGTTAAGAAATTACATGTAACGCTTCGGAAGGTGCCCGGAGGAGCTCTGCCTTCAGCCTACTGCAGCCCTGTTGCAGCTGATGAATGTTTTGGGTTGATTCCCCCAGAAAATCATTTATTTGCTTGTTTGCGGTAGCTTTGTAAGCGCTTCACGGCTCCCCCCCCGTGCTGCGTGAGGGGTGCTCCCCTTTTGTACCTGCGCACAAAATAAAGAGTTTTGTCACTAAAGCTGCCCCTGCCTGCTGCTGGAGCACAGGGGTGGTGGCAGCGAGCTGAGGCGGGACACGGATATAGGGAGAAATGTGCGATTTGTTGCGATTTATTGGATTTATTCGCTTTTATTTGTGCTTCTCACTCCCGGGGGGGGGGGGGCCGGGCCCCGCCTCCCCTCACGGCTTCGCCTCAGAGCCGCGGGCGGCGCCACCGCAACTCTCGCGAGACTTCGCCTCTGAGCGGGAGGGGCGGGCGGGAGGCTGAAGGGGGCGTGGCCTCAGCCAGGTGGGCGGGGCCTCAGCTGTACATTAGCCCCGCCCCCTCTCTTCATCAGCCCGTCCCCCTCGCGTGACGTCATCAGTCGGAGCCTGACTCCGCTCAGGCCCCCGGGGCCCTCCTCACCCCCTGGGCGCTTCCAGAGGCGCCCTCCCCGACCGCCTTCCCCTCCCTTTCCCGCCTCCTCCAACACCCCAAAAAATCCCCAAACCTCCCTGAGCGGCTCTCGGAGCCCTCTCCCCATCCCCCTTTCTCCTCGTTTCACGGCGGGGAGAGCCTCAGCGAGGCTCCGCGCCGCCAGGCGGGGCTGCCCGGCCGAGGTGCCGGCGATGCCTGGCTCCCGGGCGGCGGCTCCGGGGCTGAGCGGCGGCGCTGGGCCCGCCCGCGGCCTCCCTGAGGCGCTGCCGGCCCCCGGCCCTCCCGGCCGGGGATGAGGCGCTGCGGAGCTCGGCCGGGGCTGCCCGTGGCCTAGCGAGGCCCTCCGGTACCCGCTGGTGCCCGGTCCCCCCTGCTGGGCCCCGCGGGAGGATGTCGGGGGAGCACGACATGGACAGGACGATCAAGGTACGGGGGAGGGGTCCCCGTGTATCGGGTTTGGGGTTAGGGGGAGGTCCCCGTGGGGCTCCGCTGCCTTCCCCCGGGGGCAGGGCCAGGACCCCGGGGGGTCTCTGAGGTAAAATAAGCGAGGAGCGAGGCGCTGGGGGGGCTCCTGGCTTTGTGTGAGGTGTTTGCTGGGTGCAGGAGGCTCCATAAACACAAATAAAGTCGATAGTAAGATGGGTTTCAGAACGATATACACAAAAACTTCCCATATGCTGTTATCTGTCACCTTCCCCTGCTCCCTGCCTTTATCTTCACGGAAATAACCAGCCCCAAGCCCTGTGCTGGGTGCCCTGAGCTCAACAAGAAGCAGCTGAGCTGTTGAAAAGAGCTCAGCCCTTTCTGCTCCCATTAATTTTTTTCTAATTGAGCATATTTCCAATTAGTTTACTCCTTTTGGCCACTGGAAATGAACGTGAGGGGTGATCTTAGCGTGCGGCCCGAGGTGTAAAGCTTCTTTCCACCTGCGCCCTAAAGGAGATGGTGAGGCGTTTAGGCTTGCCAGAAGAAATAAATATTGACATTTTTAGAAAGCATCTTCTAATCCATACATTTGAAATATTTCACGCAGTTTGCATGTTGTGAACCCGTGCTGATAGAGTCCTGATGCGGGATTTGGAGCTCTTGCCCCTGAGGGAGGAGGAGATGTAAGCGATTCCCTCCACCGATGAGCAGCACAGTTCTCAAATGCTGCGTTTCACATCGTTAGCAATACCGAGCAGCGTTTCTTCATTACCAGATCATTCCTTTTTACTGCCAAATTCTAAAGCTTCTTCTGAGTAAAGGTTGGAATCCTGATAAATATGCAGGAGAAAAAAAAAGTTGGCTTTTTATTTAAAACAACGCTGTATGCCCAGAACGTGAAAGAGGAAATAAATTATCCTGTATTAAAAATTAACGGATCTGTGGTAATTGAACTTATCCCTCAGGAGCTGAGAACTGCCCAGCAGTATTCTTGTGTCACTTGGCTCACAGAGCACACGCTTCCCAATTCCTGATCAAATTCCTTGTTCTGCCTCGCTGAAATGGATGAAACGGGGTCTGTGCTGTCACAGAAGGGGCACGAGGCTGTAGAAAAAGTTTTGTCCAGATTGGGTTTGTGTGTGGGGACAGATCTCTTCTTAATCCAGCCTGTGCAGCTGAAAAGCAGATATGGTTTGGGACAGGCAGTTTCAGAGCTCTTCTTGGGTTTTGGAATAGGAGCAGCAGAATTTGGGGCTCTGCTATAAAAACCTAACTGGTTATCGCCCAACCATGGTGCTGCTCCAGAGCGCTTCAGCGTTTGGTTCACCCCTTCAGGAGGCTGGCTGGCTTCAAAAATTAAATGAGCCTGAGCTTGAAAACATATTATGTGGAGAAAATACTTCACACTTCAGAAGAACCCTTTCTCAGCTCAGGATGCTTTTCTGAAATTGGGTTTTTGTTCAAACCGTGGTGCCTTCAGTTCTGTGTCTTAATAGTGGGAAACTTAAATTGTTTTTTTCCTTATGTTCCTCTCACAAGTTGGTGAAATTTGTGGTAATTAAATTGATAAGAGAAAGTTTTTGTGGTTCTACTGGAAACAGCAAACCGCGTATAATCCGCTCTTCCTTTTCTTCCCCTTCCTTTTAAAACCCTTCCCAAAGTCTCCAGTTAGAAGCTAACCTTAACTTTTTCCTTTCCACCTCTCCCTCTGGTCACTCACGATTTATGCAGTGCCCGCTCCGGACTGCATCAAAAATGAAATTTCCCATTCCTCTCTGCCTTTACCCTCTGAAATCCCTTCAGATATTGCCTTAAACACCAGCTTCTCTCCAAAGGGCTGCAGGTTGTGAAGGAAAGCTGAGGGAAGGGGGACGCTGACCTGCAGGACGTTGCTTTGTGGGTGGGCAACTTCATTTTTTCCCTGTGCGTCATGGTGCCAGCTCTTGTTTCCACCTCCTCCTGGTGGGATTTACCAGGCAGCTTTCTGGAAGCCGATTCTCAACGCACGTAGCAGCGCTGATGGAAGCCCAGAAGTGGAGTTTTGTGGCGTGTGTTACAGTTTGTGCCGCCGCCGTCACGGCCCGTGCGGGGACGTGTTGGAGCGTGGCAGCGCCCGGGCTGTGTCGTAACAAAGCCAAAAGGATTTGGACAAAGGGATTACAAACAGGAGCTGGGTTCATTATCAGACAAGCCAAAACTAGTCATGCGGTGTTTAATATGCAGGAGGGTGATGCCAAAGGTTTGCTAACCCGAAGAAAGCAGAAAAGTGACTTTATTTTACTGTCTGACCCAAAAGTACATAAAAATGATGAGATTGGGCCTCGGCATTAACTTGCAACTGCTCGTTTATAGGCAGAAAGCTGGTTTTTCCCTTCCCAACTCTTGAAGTGCCCTTTATATGTCTCTGTGTTAACGCCACAAGATCCACTTGCTTTCGGTAATCCTGCTTCAAAGTGCTGGGGTGAGCAGTGCCCACAGCACGGAGCCCGTTGTGTGCTGAGATAACGCTGCGTTATTTTGTGAGCATTTGCACTTGTGCCTAATTCCCCGTGGGGAACCAAAACTCTGGAGCAGGCTCTTTGCGCTCTGCTCTCTTGCAAATCAGTTCTGCTGAGCTGTTTTTTTGGATGGGACGCAGTCATTTATGTATTTTTTTTCATTCTCTCCCCCCTCCCCCTGCTCCTTCTCGCCCAGGAAACGTCCATTTTGGAGGAGTACAACATAAACTGGACGCAGAAGCTGGGAGCTGGGATCAGCGGTCCCGTTAGGTAAGGCGCTGCGGGGCTCTGTGCTCTCAGCAGGGTAGCTGTGATGGTGCTGAAGGCTCCTTCTGAGCAGATAAACATCCGTGTGCTCCACGTGGGTCATGCTGGGTGTGTGAGCAAGGCGTTGGCTTTTACTGGGTATGGCTGAGGAACAAATTTGTCTTGCTCCCGTCTCGCTGCCATGCTCCTGAAGCAAGGCACCAACGGGAATCGGCTGTGAGAGGACAGCACCAGCAAGCGCTGCTCCAACACCTTTGTCCTCCTGATGCCCCTGCCACGGCGGTGCAAAGGTCGTCCCCGGTGTCGTCACTCGGGGCAGCAGCTATTTTTACCAGCTGGTTTTTCAGATCATCTCACGAGGCCCAAGCAGATAATGCCACCAGCTCCACGCCCAGCACCGGGCCTGCCTGCCCTGGGCTTCTAACCACGGCAGGAGCCGGGTGCTCCCTGTAAAACAAAACAAATTCCCTTTTTGATGAGCTCGCTGCCTTTTGGGAGCAGGAATTTGTGCACAAGCTCCGGGAAACAAACGCCTGGGCGCTGGGCAGGGCGATTGTGTGCTGCCACCATTCGTCTTCCTGTCGAGGCAGTTGGTTTCTCCTCATCCATTTTGTGCTGCGCTGCCTCTGATCCCGATGAAAATGCCCCTTTGTTCTCGGTGCTGCTCGCTGCCCGTTAACGTGTGGGCCCTCCCCACTGACGCAGCTCAATTGTTGGCGTTAAATGGGGGAAAGAGGGGAAAAAACGCGTGTGGCTCTGTTGGTGGCCCTGCCAAAACGAGGATTTCCATTCAGAGACGCTTTATTTATCGCAGGCTGCATCCTCTGCTGGGGATGCTCAGGCTGCCACTGGGGGGTTTGGGTTTTTTTTAATCACAAGTGAGTCCTCATGTTGAGGGGACAGAGTGCCTTGAGCTTGAACTGTTGCCCATTGCTTTGAGTTCTCTTTTTATGCTGAGCCTTGTGTCAGGCATAACGTGTCTGCTTTTGTGGAGGGCCGAAAGCTGAGGCTTTCAGGCTGGGACATGGTAGCAGGTGCCCTGTACGCTGCAGGCTGTGGGTATCCCTGTTAAATCCCGTGCACAGAGCCAGCTCGTAACTACGAATCAATTGCATGAAGTGTCTCGTTAACACCCCTGCTGACTGAATGATTTTATTGCTGTGATACCAGAGTCTGCGTGAAAAAATCCTCTCAGGAGCGCTTTGCACTGAAAATCCTTCTCGATCGTCCAAAAGCTAGAAACGAGGTACGGTTCCTGTTTGTGCTGCCTGCCTTCTGACACGCCACACAGGCTCTCCCCTCGGGGGAACGGCTGCAGTGGCTCAAAAACTTGCGCTCTGCGGATCCCACTGCACAGGATTCCTCCCCTTTGGTCCTCCAGGCTCGCTGTGCTCGGTCCCTGGAGCACAA